AGTAGTTAATAAGAAATAGTTAAGTAATAATTTTAGGAACTTGTAACTAACAAGATAAGATATTATGTTAAGATAGACACTTCCTGTTTCTTATTGTATTTTGAAACATTTCCACTTTATTTTTGACTTGCTTGACTGATTGAAATCAAAACAGATGGTGGTTTTGTAAAAGGAACTAACATATACTATAAAAATATGGCTTTGAAGCATAATAAACGCTCTCAGCTGCAAGCATCCTCTGAGTTGTTTGTCTTCTGTTAGCCAGTTCGCCGACTCCCTATTCACCTATAATCTTCTTCGAGTAATAAGGCCAAACCCAGTGACTGTGCTGGTCCGCGGCACATGATCATATCAATTGATGCAGAAAAGGTATTTGATAAAATCCAACACTCATTATTAATTTAAAAAAAACTCTTAGTACAATAGGAATAGAAGGGAAATTCCTCAAAATAATAAAAGGCATATATGCAAATCCAACAACTAATATTATTCTCAATGGAGAGAGACTGAAACCATTCCCCTTGCAAATGGCAGCCAGACAAGGATGCCCTCTATCTCCACTTCTGTTCAACAATGTACTGGAAGTCCTAGCCAGGGCATTAAGGCAAGAAACGGAAATCAAAGGCATCCAAATTAGTAAGGAAGAAGTAAAACTATCCCTATTTGCTGATGGTATGATCTTATACCTAGAAAACCCAAGGGACTCAGCAAAAAAACTACTGAAACTAATTGAGAGATTTATTTAGCATAATGGCAAGATACAAGATCAACATCCAAATATCAGTTAGATTCCTCCACACCAGCAAAGAGATTGCTGTAAAGGAAATAAGGTAATCAATACCATTTACAATAGTTACCAAAAAAGATAAAATACTTGGGAATAAATCTTAACAGGGACCTGTGTAAAGAAAACTACAAAACACTACTTTAAGAGTGGAAAAAAAAAAATCACTAATTTTATATGGAAAGGAAAGAGACCTCGGACAAGCAAAGCACTATTGAAGAAGAACAAAGTAGGAGGTCTCAAACTCCCAGATCTCAAAACCTACTATATAGCCACAGTAGTCAAAACGGCCTGGCACTGGTACAACGACAGGCACATAGACCAGTGGAATAAAATTGAGAACCCAGAAACAGACCCATCTACCTATGGTCAGCTGACTTTTGACAAAGGGCTAAAATCCATTAAATGACAAGAAGTGGTCTCTTTATCAAATGGTGCTGGCAAAAGTGGATATCCATTTGCAGAAAAGTAAAACAAGATCTATACTTCACACCATACACAAAAACTAACTCCAGATGGATCAAAGACTGAAATGTGAAACCTGAAACTATAAAGTTCCTTGAGGCAAATTTAGGGGCCCTAACTTATGGCACAAATAGACTATCAAGCATAACCCAAAATGCACAAACAGCAGAAGATAAGTAAATGAATGGCACCTTCTAAAAATTAAATTTTATGTGCTTCAAAAGACTTCTCCAAAAGAGTAAAACAAGAACCTACAGACTGGGCACAAATATTTGGCAATGACATATCTGACAAGGGACTTATCTCTAAAATTTATAGAAAATACCAACACCTCAACAACAAAAAGACAAACAATCCAAATGAAAAATGGACAGAAGACATTAATAGACACTTCCCCAAAGAGGATATTTAGGCATCCAACAAGCACATGAAGAAATGTTCACGGTCATTAGCCACTAGAGAGATGCAAATCAAAACAACAAGAAGATACCATCTGGCCCCACCACTAATAGCAAAGTTCAACAAGACAGAAAATAACAAATGTTGGTGAGGATGTGGAGAGATTGGGACTCTCATACACTGCTGGTGGGACTGTAAAATGATACAACCACTGTGGAAAGCTGTATGGCAATTCCTTAAGAAGTCAGAATTAGAAATACCACTTAATCCAGCAATCCCATTACTAGGTATAGATCCTAAAGAAGTGAGAGCCAGGACATAAACAGATATATGCACACCTATGTTCATTCCAGCACTATTTACAATAGCAAAAAGATGGAAACCTAGGTGCCCATCAACAGAAGAATGGATAACCAAACTATGGTACATACACACAATGGAATACTATGCAACATTAAAGAATAATGTAAAATCTGCAAAACACCATGTAACATGGATGAACTGGGACATTAAGCTGAGTGAAATAAGTCAATCACAGAAAGACAAATATTGTATTAGTTCATTATTGTAAAAAGTGAACCAAAAAAAAAAAACCAAACTCACTGCCATCGAGTCATTTCTGACTCATAGTGACCCCTCTTTGGGTTTCCAAGGCGGTATCACTATGGAAGTAGATTTCCCAATCTTCCTTCCAAGGAAAGGTTTATATATGGAACAAAACTTTCTTTGTTGGTTACTGGGGTTGGAGGGGGGTAGGGAACACTGCTAGATAAGTAGAGACAAGTATTGATTTCTGTTAAGGAAGGGTAACGCACCAAATGTGAATGATCAACACGGTGCCACTGAGGAAGAAGAAAACATAGAGAGGTACCTGGGAGGTACAGAAAACAAAGATGAACCCTGCTGTATATACAGTACTGTGTTGTCAGTGACAGCAAGCATTGATCTACAGGTGGATAGATGGGTGGACAGGCTAAACAATCAGGTATGTCTAGGCAGGGGGTAGTGTGCCCATGATCATGTACAGGGTTGGCAGATGATGTTTCTACAAGCGTATTAGAATATCCAGGAATATAGTAGAGCTGACAGTGACAAGGTTGTGACGACCTCTTGGCCACAGCCAGCTACCCAGAGAGAGTGAGTAGTTGGACCTAAGGGCTCAAGACCATGGTCACAGGGGACATCAACCTCAACTGGCATAACATACTACACAAAAACCTTGTTCTACATCCCACTTTAGGGAGTAGCAATTGTGGTCTTAAAAGCTTGTAAGTGGCCATCTAGATGCAACGATGGGTCTCTCCTCTTCCAAAGCAAAGAAGAATGAGGAAAACCAAAGATGCATGGAAATAATTAGTCCAAGACTGGCAGACCATGCAATCCTCAGCTTATATAACCATGAGACCAGAAGAACAAACTAGATGGTGGCCAATGTCAACCATTCAGAGAAGGATTAGTGCAGGAGGTTCTGGATAGAGTGGAAGAACAATGTGGAACTAAACTCAAAATCATAAATAAAGACCCAGTATGCTGGTCTGATAGGGTTTGGGAAGACCCCTGACACTATGGCTCCTAGCTACCCTTTAGGTCTGGAATTGAACTCACTCCTGTGAGTTCCAACCAAATAACAGACAGGCATATGGGCTGCATATTTACATCAGTAGATATACTACTTGGAGTGATCACTCATGTGAGAGCAGAAGGGCAGTGTTTGCACAGGGAGACAGCTGGGGGGCCAGGGGCAGGAGTCATGGGAGGGAAGGACACAGGTAAGGTATAACTACAAGGAAGAAGTGAGAAAAGAGGTGTTACACTGTGAAGAATTGCAGTCAGTGTTATGAGACAAAATGTATATGAACTGCTGTATGGAAAATGAATTTGCTCTATAACCAAATCACAATAAAAATTGGGGAAAAAAAAAAAGTTGTTCAACTGCCACTGAATCTCATTCAAAATTAAAGGGACAACTCCAATTGGTCACCCAATCATTCATCCAACTTGGTTAAATATTTAAGAAAATATATATAAGAAATATTTAAGACATTTCAATAGAACCTAGTTTGTAGAACAACGTACCATACTTTAGTAGGGTCATTTCTTAACTTTCCCCAACTCAAGTAAAATATTCAAAATTAAATTTAAATTATGTCAATCCTTTTCTTGAATATTAGCCAGAGAAAAAACTACCCATACCCACTGCCGTGGAGTTGGACCCGACTCATAGCAATCCCTTCTTGGGTTTCTGAGGCAGTATCACTACAGACGTAGATTGCCCAACCTTCCTTCCAAGAAGTGGCTGGTGGGTTTGAACTGCCAGCCTTCTGGTTAGCAGTCAAATGCCTTAGGCACTATGCCCCCAGAGCTCCCAAAACTACCCATCGTCTGATAATTCCTTTACACTTATACTGCAGACTTACTGGAGTATTCCTGGGACAGAAAGGATCATGCTCTTGCCCTCTCTTTTCTGCCAGCTGATTTAAGTACTCTGCCATTCTTTCTTTTTGTTTTCTTTTCATCCAGACACGAATCTCTCTTCTCTCCTTCTCAGTTCTTTGCGGACATCTGCCAGAAGTATGCTGAATTCTGACAAATTTAACAGGCTGGGTATTACTTGCTTTTATATTTGTTATACAGAGAACTTTCATAACTAAATGCTGTTTATTTTGGAAGATTTTGGCCCATCTTGAAAAGCAGTATACACTTACGGTCTTTAGTAAACTCACTCTAACCCATCACTCTAAAATTCACTGAAAATAATCTTAGAAAGGTCACCAAGGGCCTCTTCTTTTCAGTCTTCTTCATACTGTGCAACATTTGACACAATTGATTTTCCCTTCAGCTTTATACTTTCTCTTACGTAGGTCTTTTCCTAACTTTGGAAACACTACTCAGCTTCCTACACTTCTGGAACTGCACCTACGTTCATGTCCATATGACACTTCCCATAGGCTGGCTGGCTAACGACTGAACAAAGCGGTGATACAATCTCAGACCCATTTCTTACAAGACACAAGATTCCTTTTGGCTTGACATCTCACTACTGACCTGGCTGAAGCTTTCTTAGAACTGCATTGTAATCTGAGACTCTTTGTACCCAACCCTCCTTTCTCCTCTCCTTCATAGGGGCCTGTGCAGAACAGGTTTAACACAGCAGGCCTGGGACTGCTATGCTTATAAGGGCTGCTTACAGGGTTGGAATAAAAAGAAAATATGCTTACATATCTAACACTGCATTCACTATCTTGGTAAAGAAATCACTATCAACTCAGTCATCCAAGTAGCAAAGCTATTATTCTCACCTCCTCCTGACACCCTCCAGTGTTTATTCAGTCCTGTTGTCCTGCACTCTCCATCTCAGCCAGCTCCCTCTAGACTACTGAAGACTGGCTTTTGTTTTTAGTCTTTAAGCTCTTTACTGAAACCTTGCACAGAGTAAACCATATTTTCTTTTTATTCCAATTCTTGACATATAGAATATTGATGAAATATTCATAAAACAGTCATAAACATAAAAAAAGACCAATTCCTACATATATTATTGGAGCTAACTAAATATGTTTTACAAGGGAGGTAGGATCTATATGGTTTTGACAATGAAGTCATAATATAGCAGATAACTCCATTAATTAAATAAACATTGTCTTTATATATGTATTAGTGGTAATAGCCTTGTTTGTTCAATTATAATACATTTTATTGAGATATAAGTTGAATTGAACTATATAAAGAAGCATAGCTGGCTATTCATAGGCCGATTACTTATTATAAGCTTGCCAAGAAGGGCATGCATGCCAGGGAAGCTTTAGGAGCAGAGTCAGCCTTCATTCCATTAGGATGAAGAAACTCCATCAGTTCCTGGCCCAAGAGGAGTTGGAAGAAAAAACATTTCAACCTAATGATCCAAGAAAAGGCTATTAAAGATTTACACCAAGGGCTAATATTTACCATACTTAAATCATTGATTACTTCTAAGAAGAAATAGGTTTAAATTTATGTTTTATTCAGACTGTTCAGCCCTTGGGAAAACTCTAAAGATACAGCTGTGCTGTACCAGGTTAACTAAACCAGTCTATATATTGTTTGGGGAGGTAGGAGTGAAATATCAAATTTATTTATGAAGAAAACGTATCTTCTAAGCTTGGAATCTATTTCATAAAAAGCACATTAAAATATGGCCAGTTTCAAACATTCTTAAGCCATAAACATTTTCAATGGGATGAAAGTTTACCTGGAGATAGTCTTAGTTTGTTGTTCTGTTAAGCCAAGCTCTTCACTAGAAACTCCATCTTTTGTAATAAGGTCATTAATAATATCTGCAATATCAGTCAATCCAGTCATCTGAAGTGGATCTACTGAAACACTTCATTGGCAAATGCAATTTGAGAAATATAAGTCAGTGTGTGCTCATTACATTAAGCAATCATGTACATGTAATACTATGCTCTCCAGAAGGATAAATGGACAGATATAAACTTATCTACTGTTTCCTCTATTTCTGTAATTGCAATTCTTCTCAGGGGAAAAGCCTAATAATAATTGATGATGGTAGGTACTCTACACAAAATCAAACGTGAGGCCCAGAAGAAAATCTCTACAGGTCCTGCTTGCTGAAATTGAAAATATATTTAGTAAAAGCAAATGTAACAAGAATAGTCTATACCAATCTAATTACTACCTATGGTAAAACAGTAAGGTATGTAATATAACAAAACTCATTTTATATATATATATAAATTAAACCATAACTCACTGCCTTTGAGTCATTTCCAACTCATAGTGACTCCCACTGGGTTTCTGAGGCTGTAAATATTTACGGAAGTAGATCACCCCACCTTCCTTCTGCAGAGCAGCTGGTGGGTTTGAACTGCTGACCTTTCCAGTTAGCAGTCAAGTGCCTTATCCACTATGCTACCAGAGCTCCATATATATAAAATACAATAAAAACAAATCACTAAAAGATGTGTAATGTAGAATTTCACATACATATGAACAACAAAATTGCTAGAACACATCATTTATGTCCAACTTTAAATAAATAAAAGTTTGAATTAAAACCCCTAGAATACTTACCTCTCAAATAATTCACCACTATTATTCACACCTTAAAAAAAAAAAAAGAAACATTATTAATAGAAATTGCAGGGCAGTTTTTTTTTCTTTCACTTATTAACCTGATTAAGATATTATATAAGAAGAAATAGAAACATTTTTACCTTTTGGGCCTGCCTTTGTCACCAGCCTGCATTCCCTACTCTTGATATTACACTGAGTCCCCAAAGTCCTTAAACTGTCTTCATTCTTGACTTTTTTGGTGCCACATGAAACTGTTAACCACTTCTTGCAAATCTCTCCTCCAGACTCTGCTCACCTGTTCTGTTCACTAGGCAAGGTCCCTCTGCTCTTTAATGGGCAACATTTAACAAGTCTAGTCATTGGCTTTTTTCTCCTCTTCATTCTCAGAGTGAACAGATGCACTCTCTTAACTTTAACTATGTAATTAAATGAAAGGCTCTTACATGTGTTTTCAAGCCTAACCCTCTCATCCAAACGCCACTCCCATGTATAAAACAATGCTGGATTTGGTCAATCATATATCCTAGCATCACTTTAAACATTTGGACTCAGAGTACTTTAGAGTCTGACATCAAACCTAGTCATTTGCCTGTCTCTGACAACATTAAACAGCATTCATTTTCTCCTTATCCTTTTTTATCCACTTAGCCTCTGGCTGCTGCATACTTATTCAGAATGCCTCTTACATCCACCTGCTTCTCTTTTCCTTTCCCATACACTGCCCAAGCTCTCATTTCACAGGTGAAAATAATTTAATAGATTATTAACTGGTCTATACTTTCAGTCTGTTCTTGTTGCTGTTATGAGTCATCAATTCTGACTTATAGTGACCCTATGTTGTTGTTGTTGTTACGTGTTGTTGAGTCAGACCTGATTCAGAGAGACCCCTCCTTGGGTTTCTGAGGCAGTATCACTACGGAAGTAGATTGCCCAACCTTCCTTCCGAGGAGTGGCTGGTGGGTTTGAACCGCCAGCCTTCTGGTTAGCAGTCAAATGCCTTAGGCACTATGCCACCAGAGCTCCCGCAGTGACCCTATAGGCTTTGCTAACCTATAAACTTTATTTCAGCAGACTGTCAGATCTTTTCTTCTGTGGAGCAACTGGTAGGTTTGAACCACTGACCTTTTGATTAGCAGCTGAGGACTTAACAACTGTACCACCAGGGCTCCTTGCACCAAGTCTTTCTCAAAATATTTTACTTCTCTGCTCAAAATTTTCCAATGAGTCCCAACAATAAAACTATCTAAACTTCTTATATGTAATTAGAACCTTCTACAACCTAGCCCATGAGTCCTGTTTAACCTCATTTGCCAATCTTCCCCCTTGGGAGAGAAGAGAAAGCTATCAGTAAGCAAGAACCTACAGGAATCAAATAAATTCTCAGCTAGATGCTTTTATAAGATACTGAATATTCACAACAGCTCTATGAAGAGGAAATTATTATCCCTATATGTTGACAACTAAAATACAAATGGAATCTAGGAAGAACTTAAGGAAAAAATTATATGATTTAAAACTAGCTTCTTAATAAATTTTCTTTTCTATGCCCTGTTGAAATAACAGTAATGCCAATTAAAAATAGCATTTTTTTTTTTTACTGGTTATACTTCTTGAATAGTAATAATAATAAAAATATTATAAACACTGAGTAAAATTGTCATTATTAACCATCAATATCTGAGGGAAAAAATAAATAAATAAAATTTCCAAGCTATTGTCAATGGTTCAATGGTTTTATCTATGATACCTGATTATTCATATAACTAAAGGATAATATTTTTAAATGCCAGCTTCAAATGAAATAGAACTAAAAGTGGCACTAAACCTTTCTAAGCTTTAGTACCCTCAACTATAAACTGAGAACAATAATGCTATCTAGCTCACAGGCCAGGTTTAAACAAGAGTTGATGGATGGAAAATAACAATATCTGGCAGATAGGAAAGGCTCAATACATGATAGCCATTACTCTGTCAGCAAATTAAAACTCAAAGTTCTCATTTGGTAAAGAGTGTGGATTTCTCAATTTTAATAAAAAATCAAATATTCCAGTATTTTCAATAGCTTATATCTAACAATTCCTATGCTATGTAGAGATGAAGCACGGCTACAGTGTATCTTACGAAGGTGTAAGATGACAGAGGTCTTTATGTCAATGATATAATTTCTAAGTTCTTTTTCTCTGAAATCAGTAAATATTACAAAAGATTTCATACATTGTTCATAATTATATTCTCCATAAACACTGTTCAGTGACAATACGATGGCAAATAAGAGTATAAATGAAATGAAGGAAGACAATACCAGCAGAAGTTGTACTCTGGTCAGTGGAAAGGCTGACAGCTGAGTCGGCAGGAGGAAACACGCTGGCTTTCAGACTAGGGTAATTTTCTGTTACAGAAAACTCAGCTCCTGAAGTCTCCTCTTTGTCACCTTGATCTTCCTTATCCATACGAGTTAAGAAAGGTACTAATCCAGAACATATAATACAATAAAGAGAAAATGGGGAGAAAAATATCACATGGAAAAGATATATCAATTAGCTAACATTCTTTCTAGATGCAACACAAATATATTAGAAGTTTGCAATATATTCTGATCGTTTTCTACTAAATAATGAGTTTAATATGAATGTTAAAATAAAAATTAAACTCTCCCATAATTATAAAAAGAATTAAATTTACTATCAACTTCAAATAAACATGTTGTTGTTGTTGTTATGTGCTGTCGAGTCGGCCCCGACTCATAGCGACCCCTCCTTGGGTTTCCGAGGCGGTATCACTACGGAAGTAGGATTGCCCAACCTTCCTTCCGAGGAGTGGCCGGTGGGTTTGAACCGCCAGCCTTCTGGTTAGCAGTCAAGTGCGTTAGCCACTATGCTACCAGAGCTCCTCAAATAAACATAGCAGATTGAAATACAGTAGACAGGATCATATCCTGCTATAAAAACACAGAAAGGCCAAATTTAAAAATAAAAAAAGTTAAATATACACCGAGCTTTCTAAATTGAGAAATCAAGGTAAAGCAGTAAGTATACAATGCTATCAGTCTAAGGCATTTGACTGTTAACCAGAAGTCTGGCAGTTCAAACCCACCAGCCACTGCTCAGAAGGAAGGTTGGACAATTGACTTCCATAGTGATACTGCCTCAGAAACCCAAGGAGGGGTCGCTATGAGTCCAATCCGACTCCACGGCAGTGCATATACAATGCTATAGGGCAGTACACACAGAAACAAGAGACATGGTTTCTAAGATTACAGTGAGGAGGGCTGAGCTACCTGTACATAGCCTAGAGCTTTGGAGGACAGCTCTGTCCATAATATGGAGATAATAAGCCTGCCCTGGAGAAGCAACAGAGACATTGTCCATTTGCCTGAATAACGGGTGGGAGAAAAATAAATCAATCATGAGCAATGAAACCACACTCCCGCCACAAGCAGGTATGGTTTCTGCATTTATACTATCTGTGTAGTACTTAACTCCAAGCCAAGAAGTTTATATAAAAACTTGTGTAGGTTAAACACTTTGCATACCTACGGATAGCAAAGGTCCTTATCATGCTGCCCTGTTCTGATCATTGTTTTTGCTGGCAAGCCAGTCTGTGAACCAGACCTTGAAATAGTCCTGAGAGATTTACACAGACACCTGGACCCACAGTTCTATTTCTTGGAATGCAAACATGCAGGAATGAGAATTGAAGGTCAGGTAAGCCTGGCAGGGTGCCCCTTTTGTGTACTTCAGTATAAAACTGCCTGTAGCTTTAAGACTGTGTTTTTTTTTTCCTCTGTCTGTCTCCCTCTTCCTCTCCTGTCCTTCCAGCCTGCCGGCTCCCAGACTCCCTGTAAGTAAGTACCAATAAATCCATGTTACAGTGAATGGACTCCAGGTCATTTCTTTGGTCTCTCAGCCATTAGTGCGAGAGATACTCTCAACTGGCTGGGGATCCTGCCCCTCTCCTTACAACTTGTCCTGATTTTTTTCTGCTTCAATGCTAGCAGGAAGCAATGCAAAAACACTCCAAAGATAATCACACACAACCTACAGAACCCTGCTAAAGATAAACCCATGATGAAGCAACTGAGTGCCAAAAAGCTGTCAAACATGCTGATAGCTCCTAAATAAGCACTGACTTTATAAAAATAAAATACAAGGAGATTAACTGGAGAGGGAGAAGCAAAAAAAAGGTAGATACAAACTACTAGAAAACAATACAATAAAAGATAAGAGGAACAGATTATGTTAAAATTCTAAAGTTTTTACATAGTTTGGGATGTAGATATACTTGCGTTTAATTTTTAACCCAACTATGAATGTGGAAAACTCAAGAATAACTACGAAAAGATTAAAAAAGAAGGTCTAATTTATGAACCCATACCAAACCAAACTCACTGCTATCGAGTCGGTCCTGACTAATAGTGACCCCTCCTTGGGTTTCCAAGGCTATCACTAAAGAAGTAGATAGTCCAACCTTCCTTCAGAGGAGTGGCTGGTGGGTTTGAACTGCCAGCCTTCTGGTTAGCAGTCAAATGCTTTAGGCACTGCGCTACCAGAGCTCCCAGCAATAGATAAGGGTTCCAAATTTCCCACATCCTTGAAATGTTTATTATTTTCTGTGCCTTTTTGTTTTGTTTTGTTTTACATTAGCCACCATAGCTGGAGTGTAATGTTATTTCATAGTGGTTTTGATTTACATCTCTCTTATGGCTAATGACACTAAGCATCTTTTCATGTGTCTGGTGGTAAGACTGAATGAGTGAGAGAAACTAGATATAAACAACAACTATACAAAAAACCCACTGCCATCAAGTTAATTCTGACTTATAGCTACCTCCATAGGGTTTCCCAGGGCAGCCCTGAAGGTGGAAGGCAGAGAGCCGGAAGCAGCGTTTGGAGCAGCTTCAAGGGAGGCTAGGAAATGAGCAGAGCAGTTTGGATCAGCAGTTTGGAGATGACCTTGTCTGTCAGTTTGTTGTCCTGTGGTGGCTTGCACGTTGCTATGAGGCAGGAGGCTATGCCACTGGTGTTGCAAATGCCAGCAAGGTTATTCATAGTGGACAGGTTTCAGGGAGCATCTAAACTAAGACAGACTTAGAGGAAGGAAGAGACCATCCACGTCTCAAAGAACTGGCCAATGAAAACCTTATGAATAGCAGTGAAACACTGTCTGATATACTACTAGAAAATTTTATGAATAGCCCTAAAACACTGATACAGTGACAGAAGATGAGCCCCTCAGGTCAGAAGGCACTCAAAACACAACTGGGGAAGAGCTGCCGCCTCAGAGTAAAGCTGACCTTAATGATATGGATGGAGTAAAGCTTTCAGGACCTCCAACTGCTGATATGACACAACTCAAAAATGAGAAGAAAAAGCTGCAAACATCCATTAATAACTAGAACCTGGAATGTATGAAGTATGAATCTAGGAAAGCTGGAACTTGTCAAAAAGGAAATGGAACGCATAAAGATAGATAACCTAGGCATTAGTGATCTAAAATGACTGGATTTGGCTATTCTGAATCATTCAACCATATGATCTACTATGCTGGGGATGACAATTTGCAGAGGAATGGCACAGCATTCATCATCACAAAGAATATTTCAAGATCTATCCTAAAGTACAGTGCTATCAGTGATCGGATAAAATCTATATGACTACAAGGAAAGCCAGTTAAGACTACTATTACTCAAATTTATTCACCAACCATAAAGCCAAAGATGAGGTAACTGAAGATTTTTACCAACTTCTGCAGTCTGAAATTGACTGAACATGAGATCAAGATGTGCTGATTATCATTGGTGACAGGAATGCAAAAGTTGGAAACAAAGAAGAATCACCAGTAGCTGGAAAACATGGCCTTGGTGATAGAAATAATGCTGGAGAACGCATGATGAAATTTTGCAAGACCAATGACTTATTCATTGCAAATACCTTTTCTCAACAACACAAACAGTGGCTATGCACGTGGACTTCACCACACAGAGTACACAGGAATCATATCAATTAAATTTGTGGCAAGAGGCAGTGGAAAAGCTCAACATCTTCAGCCAAAAGAAGGCTATGAGCTGATTACGGAATAGACTATCAACTGCTCATATGCAAGTTCAAGTTGAAGTCAAAGACAAACAAAAGAAGTCCACAAAAGCAAAAGTATGACCTGAATTTAGAGACCATCTAAAGAATAGATTTGATGCATTGAACACCAATGACAGAAAACCAGAGAAATTGAGTTGTTGTTGTTGCTAAGTGCCATCAAGTCATTTCCGACTCATAGCGACCCCATGCACAGCAGAACGAAACACTGTCCCATCCC